ATAGCTGAAAAGCAGTTAACAAGCAATTTCCGAAAGTGATTAGAAAAGGAAGTATGCGAACTCTGTCCTTTAAAAGGCACCAACCACAGTTTGAGCAAAAAGATGGCTATTCCCTCGTCTCTCAGAGCTCTAAACCTACCGGAGACAGCTGTCTTGCAGTCTCCTCGCAAGAAGCAACTGTATGATGCACCTGTGGGCAATCTTAAGTCCTCTCTTTGTCCAGAGAGGAATTAGGAAGAGCCAATCTATTCATCGACTCTTCATTCCACCATGGTCATCAGCTCTGCTTTTAGCAGAACCGTCTTTAGTTTGCCATTTCTTCCCCAGAAGCCACTGAGAGTAAGGAAATCTTGAATATTGCAAACAAACTTCAAACAAGCAGCTAACAGCAAGACATCCAGAATTTGGATTTAGCTTCAGAAGCATTCCCACAACTAAAGTTTCTAAGTTTCTGTTTCTATTCTTAATTCTTAAGAAAGAGCAGAAAATCAAACTACAAACCTCATGATCCATAGCAATCTTTAGCATTAGTCCATTCAAGCATAAATTTTGTGGTTATTATTTAACAAATTGCCATCATTTCTCATAAAACTCATTTTAATAGAAATCAAAAATTGTTCCATTTTAAATGTTTTAAAAGAACTTATCCACTGAACAATGATACTTGTGGGTGGATATGTAACTTTTTTAAGTTGATTAATAACTCTGTTGGATGATTCCACAAGCTTAGACAATGAGTTAATTAATGCTGGACACTTAGCTTATCATTAAACAACTCATTAGATAGCCAAAAAATAAAAGAAGTGAGAATATAGAGAATAATGTTAGCTAATGCTGTTTAGTAAATCAGACATGAAAACTGTCACCATAATCTCCACGCAATGTGTTCACTTTGGGAAGGGGACAATTAAATGCATAATCTATAGCACCCTCCTACATTTCCAGTATTCAAAGCAACTAAGATACATATCAAAAAGTGAAATGACATATATTAGATATACCATCACAAATAAACAGTAAATCAGTAATATAAAATAAAACAAAAAAATGGAGCAGTAGAACTTAAAACTTGAGAGAAAAAGACAAAGCAAGAGCCCAACAGATTTCCACAGGAAGAGTATTCTAAAGCTACAGTACCCCACAATCACTGAAAAGGCTAAGCAATCACAAGAAACTTCCTTAGAGATAATCAGTAATGTTTAATATTCCACACAATCCTAT